GCTGTGAAAGTTGATTTGGTGGTGCTGATTCCTAAGCCATCGTTGAAACTCTTTCTTCCGAAATTTTGCTGTAATTATGCCAGCATAATGCTATTGGGACAGTCGCAATGAAATGGGCCTCAATCATCGCCTGGACTTCTACCAGTTGCGAATGGCGTCTGCAGTAGCCATGCGGCTATTTGAGTTTACAGGGATACCGATGACCTCGACATGCTAGCCGTTGTAAGAGTTGCACTTCATATGTACATTAACTTATTTAAGAGACAATTCATCGTAACTGATAAAACTAGGGATGTGAGGATTAGCAGTTGCGTAAATAATGAACGATATTTGTTTTGTTCTCCAATACATGATAATAAATACATTCACACTGTCTTTTGCTGGATACCATGGCTATAGTCTTGGCTCAAGATCATCCGAAAAGCGTCCACTTCTGTGTATACTATTTCAAAATTGAATGTTCTCAAAAGAAATAAAAAATACCCTCTTGGAATACTTAATTTACCTAGTTTTCGATGAACCCGCATGTTCACTATGTGGGATGCAATTGGACTGGGCTGCAAACGCTGCACATTGTGATCCTTGTACAAACGAGTAAATGTACCGTTTTCGGGTCACTGATTTCTACAAAGAACAGAAGGCATGCATGGGAGAATGAGGCATCCCAGTTAAGTTCGCAAAAAACGCTGATGCAGTTTTGTGAAAATGTGGGTTTTCGCTTTAGACGAAACAAATTTACGTGAACATCTGTATTTTATAATTTTTATGTTTTAGGTTTTGTTAAACCTAAATAAGATCATGAACGTTTTTACGGGATTTGTCCACTTAAAAAATTCAGCACAAGTGCCAGGTAGAGTGACCATGATAACTGTCAAAAACCTCCAAAAATACTTCTGTATAAAAGAACACGTATAACTATTTCGGAATAAGACACGCTCATTATGTATACAATGTCATTTAGCACATACATATTTGAATATTTCCATTAAACACAGAAATGAGCAAAAATATTGCGGGTACTTTTTATGATTCTCTAATTCGCTGTCTTATAGTGTGACTTGACAGAAAAATTAAATTATACAATTTCTAATGCATCTTTACTGCGACAACAGTGCCACCTGTGTGCGAAAACTTCCAAGAATAAAGTATCCTGTGTTTCAGGGAACGAAAATATGCAAAATTAACAACGACAAAAATCTTGACATTAATTGACTTTTGTGTGACCTGCTTCACGTAATTTGATCAAAAATTACTTAAGTGATGTAAATCATGACTTAATTCTATTCTAAATACACTTTTAGATTATTCAACTGAGAAATTTCGGGGAACGACAAACGACAGGTGAGATCTACATTTTTTATTTTCACCAGCAAAGGCTCTGCTGGAGTGTGATTCTTTCCTCTAATGTCACTGCAATTTATGCTTTTTTCTAAATGAGATCAAAATACCCTCCTAAGAGCCGAAATTACATCCCTTAGACAAGTTACCTAAATCATTTACGTTTACTTCTTCAGACAAATAAAAAATTCCTTTACAGTAGCCGACATTTAACGGCAAGGCTTCGCACGGAGATATCTGCGCATACCTTTCAAAAGATGTTGCAACGGTTTCCGAAGAATATCGTTTAATGCATTTAACTACGTTTTACAGAACCAGACACCAAGGGCCTAAAGTGCGTTGACAAGGTTGTACTTTTTAAGAAAGTGAGCATCCGTAATTGTTCGGACGCTGTGTCCAACTTTTAGGAGTACTTTAGGCGGTACTTGAAAGTGAGTCGTGCTTAATAAAGTATGCCTCCAAAATTTTACATAAGGGGAAATTTGCCTGGTTTTTTCTTGAGCAAAATCGGTTAAATTTCTCCTGAAAAAGGTTTTTTTCAACGGTTTGATAATTTTAGTTAAGTAAGTCAAAGAAGTTTTTAAAAAGCTGTAGGCTCTCCTAATTTCACTTACTCATTCCTACAATTAATTTGAGGACTACTGCATGATAAGCAAGCTTATAGTAATTAGTAATTTTTTGATAAAATTAATCGCTTCCCATCAAGTACCGCAAATACCATTAGGAAAATCCAGGAAATTGGAATTTACTCGATATTCTTCCAAATTTTCTGAAAAAAAGTGTGTCTCTCATGCATTTCTGTACCCCTGCCCTTCATTTACGTCTACCTACCTACTAAGCGTTAGGGAATAACACCTACGCCGGTGTTACATCGTACATTCTTCCAGGTGTTTTAAGTTCGATCAATGTCCAAGTATCCCAAAAGTATTGGTTGAAAGCTAAAAAAAACTACCCAGTTGATGTTCTTGTGTTTTACAATGTTTCGGCTTTGGAGGTGAAATACGTTGAAGTGATCATCCGACTATAAACAAATGATGGCTAGATAAGACATACAGGAGCACTACGTTCGTGTCCCACTGAAGCTCGCTGAGGTCAACTTTAAAGTTGCCTTTAAAATCCCCGAAGTAGTTCAATCGAGACTCTTCCACGCAAAATGTCAACGTCATTAAAACAAACAAGACGAAATTGTTTCAACTGATACGCCAGCCACAGCCAACAACTCAGATCCCATGAAGTTCTACCAAAGTATACCTGCGGTGTTTTAGGCACTGCTCGTGCGTTTTGCAGGACTTTACAATTTCATTCTCAATGCGGTTATTGCTTTTACTTACAGTGTATATAATAAGCTTCACAATAGTCACGTATTATTTTACATGCTTCACAGGAGAATAGTGGATCAATATCCTCGGAATTGTGTTAACAGGTAATGTCATAGGCACTATAACAACCAACGAGACATTATGGCCGTTTAAATAGTAGATTGCTAGAAGAAAAAGGGTATCAGGAGCTAGACATGACTATTCAACTGTAAATGCCCATCTCAGTTTGTCTTTTATTTGTCGGCGCTCCTGTCTGTAATGATCTGACGAGGTTGAAGGACTTTTATCCTGCCATGCCTCGGTATAGTTCCATTCTTCCTGATAAATAGTAAGTTTGTTACTGTTTCCATGGCATTTGCTGTCAGAATATACCCCTTTGAAAGCATTCTAGGATTATTTTTACGGGCCGAGCAAGGGTTGGACACTTGAAGGCAGTGAACGCTATTTAGGAAAACAAAACCCTTAATACACCCCTGACAGCCACTTTTCATCACATTTTAGCGTCCTTAAAAGAAATGAAAATATATTATTTTTGCGCCCTTTTTCCTCAAAATATATTTGACTTTCTAAGAGCAGTGAAAATTAATGAGAGAAATTTATGTTACATAAGTAACCATTTTCCTGAATGTATTTTTGCAGATGGTCAATAAGAAGCATTTTCGAAAGCTGACACGCTGAGGTGACCGATATATATGAAGATTAAGTTGCACGGGCATCAGATTTACAACTATAATTCATGAAAACAAGGCAAAGATCACGAGACTAATAGGATTTATTGACGTCATATAATTTCGCGTCTTCCTATTTAACTGCGAATGGTCGTTGCCCCTTAATAAAGATAATTAACTGTCTGATTAAGTGTCGGCCTAGAACGGTGAAACTCGAAAGGTAAAAGGAGTAGAAGCTATGAGTCTTTGATGCAGACGCATGGCGAGGGGGGTGGATGACGGGGAGGCAGTTGTCACAGCACGGCAGTTCATGTTCATGAAAGACCGTAGGACGGGGTTAAAGGGGGGGGAGCAGGGAGGAGTGTAGCAGTCAGCCCAAAGCGGAGCGAGGAGACGTGAACTGGGTGAGTTTATAGATAAATTTGAGCTTGATCACGTGTTCCAGCTGCTTACAGAATTCTGGTTTTCTTCTCGAGTCGAGAACGTACTTCAGAATTTTGGTTTACGTTTCACGAGACAGGGAATCTACTGCACTCAGCCGCAAACGGCCATCCAAGTCTGTCTTCGTTTTGTGGGCGCTCTTGCCTGTAATAAGCTGATCCCTCCACGACCTCATTCTTTTCTATTCTGACCGACAAACAAGAAGTTTTACACTATTTTTATGACATCTCCTGTCAGAATCAACCCATTTTTGGGTCAAGTAAAGGTTGTGCACTTAAAGTCGGATAACGTTACTTCTTACAACCTTGAGAACCAATGTTGTCGGGTTTAATGTTCAATGAGAAAAGGATCTGCATTCCACTTTATCTACACCTGCAATTGGGAATGGCGATAACTGGCGATAACTGGTCAGCCATAAGTTAGCATCACAGACTATATTTTCTTTAACAGTCGTTGATAAAATTTCATCGATCGATACCGGAACTCTTTCTTCTCGCTCTGTCTTGAGGCCCATTTTCTAGCACCGCCAGCAGCCGCACAGCGGCAAATAGTCTAGGCAGATAGCTTTGACCGCAAAGTCAAGGCAGACTGGAATGGCTAGTTTTGGCTTACCAAACGTCATCAGCCAGTCAAATCCAACTCCAATTGTTGGACCAACTCAAGGCACATCGGCAGATCGAGTAAGTTCCGTTAGCAATTTTCAAAATTCGTAAATAAGTGTTAATATTTTCCGATCTTTACCGGCAAGACAACGAACTGATGGCTCAATGATTAGAGCGCTAGACTCTGATTGAAAAGGTCACGTGTTCAAACCTTGGGTTAGGCACCACTCAGGGTTGGATATGACTGGCTGACGCCCCGCTAATGAGCCAAAAAGGGCCATTCCAGTCTCCTGTATTTTTGGCGGCGATACTATCTACCACTTCTATGTCGGTGCTTCTGCCTGTAGTGATCTGATCACTCTATGACCTCGTTTTAGCAGAGTTTTGAGAGCAAATCATATTTCATCTAGTCACGCCTGCGGTAAATTATGCTTAACGTCTCGTTCTTGTTATCGTCCGACCGACAAACTGAATCTTGTTACTGATTCCACGACATTCGCTTTCCAACCCTATCCCCTGGAAAACTTTTCACCAGGTTTTTGGTGGGTCGAGCGGTGGTTGAAATCGCTGGATGCTACTTAGACTAATGACACTGTTTTACACGCATTTTCCCGCCTTTTACAGCGTCCTCCATGTGGATGGAAGTAGAACTGGTCTATTTGCCCCTGGGCCTGCCCGATGCCAGTACCGCGGAGACGCTGGGACTGCTGGAACAGCTGACGGAACGCCAAGACAGCGGACCATATC